CCTTCCCTTCTCTTTCCCCCGCCCTCCCGCGCCCCGCCGACATCTTGTACCCGTATCTCTCGCTAACGAGGACCTTTCTGATGTTTTCCAGGAACAGCTACCCTTACTCGCGTGCCCACCGCGGGACGTCTCTGGAGAAGGGGAGGAGGGTGGGGGTGAACCGGTAAGTACAGCAAGGCCACACTCGCATTACCGGACATATCGACTCGACTCCGACGCGGAAGAGCGAAACAACTCACTGGCGAAAAGTGAAAAGGACGTAAGTCCGGTAGACTTTTTCACTTTTCACCAGTGAACTCTGCAAGGGTTGTAAGGTTTCGGGGGAACGGCGGACCTGTTTTTTACGACACACACCCGCAAAAAACGGTTTTATGAATTTGAAATTTAAGGATAAGGATGAAATTATCACTTAAATTTAAAGATTTTTTTTTTCCACTCGGGTTAAATTTCCTTATAATTTTAGGAAGTGTTCCTCGAACTGAAGGCAGGCTCCCGTATCCTCAATTTAGGTCAACATTTCCTTTCAAAGAAAGCAATTTCTCGGTGCAGAAAATTCACCCCCCTTATTCTGCTTCCTGTTTCACACGCACAAATACACGTTTACGCGGTGATTCACTCACCGAAACGTTGACGTTAAAGAAGAAGAGCACTCCTGGTGAAGTGGTCTCGACTCGGTTCGGTGCCCCCTTTCGGTCGTGCTGCGCCAGCTGCAACCCCAGCTCCGCCGCGATCTGCTGTGAGGCCCGGGGGACGCCCTGCTTGACTCGACCCGACGCGGAGAGCCGGTCAAGGGGACTGAACGCGAGAGCACCCCGGCAGCCGCGGCGTCGTCCGCGGGGAGGTGCAAGGTGGAGGGGGGCGCCCAGAGGGGGGGCGGGGCGGGCGGGGGCGGGCTCGCGCGCGCAGGGGTTGCTCCGGGGACCCGCCGCGCCTGTTGGTGAGGGAGAGGGCACTCGACGAACGCGACCGGCAAGCGATGCACGCACGTCCCGGCGGAGAGACGAAGAGCCTCTCCCAAGACGGACTTGGATTTGTACCATATCTTTTATTCGCTCGAATTTAAGCAATCAATTAAATTTTGCACACATTTTCTGGCGTTGCATTGAACACTTTCTGGTGCATTCATTTGAACGAAATCGTATGCGTCTTTGCTCACCAATTTGTCCAAAACGAAACGCGTAGGTCTAACTTGGCCCGAAACGTTTGCACAAAAGCGTGCAAGTTAACGCGTTGCAGTGAGGGCATCGGGATCGCAGGGGCGCTTGCAGTTTGTTGCCGACTTCTTGTGAAGAGTTAAAAGCGCGGTTAAAAGGGAGGTGAGCAGAATGAATGCAACGTGCTACGGAGATCAGAGCAGCAGAGAAAGGAAGGAGATGGGTGTTGTTTGACAGACAGAGAGTCGAGAAACATCCGGCACTAGCACTCGGAACCGGAACTTGATTCTCTTGAGAGATAGATAAAACGAGAGCAACGTTGTGTGTCTTTTCGAGCTTCTGTTTATTTAACATAAAACGAAGTAAAGGTAAAGAATAACAAAAAATACAGCCATAGTGATGATAACAGTAATTCTTGAGACACTTTGTCGCCAACTCCATGTCTTTTTCTTCATCTCAGTCTGCCCCCCCTCTCCCCCCAATTGGGAGCTCAGTGATCATTATTTTTTCAGTATTCTATGTAATTCCAAAGATTACGGGGCTCAAGGGCTTGGAAAACCGCCGGAAAATCGCGCGCAGCAGTGGGGGTTGTCGTAGCCCCTCGCCCCGGAATCTCCGGAATCAAATAGAATACCGAAAAAAATAATAAGAACGATCCCTGCATCTCCGCTATCTGTCTTAAAATGTGTATGTCATCGTGTTTACGAGCGATCTCGCGGGTTATTCACTCGCGAACTCGCTCACGCTTGAATTCACGTGAGCTTAACTTTACACACCCCATATCAGCCGGGCCCCATACTTCATCTCCTGATCGAGCCCGCGATATTGCCTTCGACTCGAATGGATGCAGCGGCTGCCGCCGTCGCCGACATCGACTGTGTAAGGGCTGCATATGGGGTTGCACCGGGTCGGGCGAGTGTTCCTGTGCCCCGGGGGAGAGGGCGCCAGAAGTCCTGGAAAGTGTGCGGAAAATTTCCGGAAAATGAAAAAATTTCCCAGACCTCAGGAATTTTCCGTTGGAAGATGGAGTGGGAGGAGAGGGGGGGGTGGACGGGTCCGTCTCTTCACATGCGTCTCAGTCTTCTTTGTGGTCCTCGCATGCGACGAGAGCGATGACCTTGTAGCCTGCAACACAAAGGAGATCCGTTATTAGTCGACGACGAGGTGCGCGCGCCACCGCCCCGAGACCGCCGTCCACGACACTCACGCTTCTTGGAGGTGCAGTTGTAGCAGTCGAGCTGGCACTGGTTGATGAAGGTCTCCTTGTCCCTGGAGACCGGGTCCATGGCGCACAGGGCGCTCAGCGGTCTGCTGTAGCAGTTGCAGTCGCACGGCGGTGCCTTGCCGGCTGCTTTGGCTGGCGCCGCGGTGGTCGTCGGCGGCCGGCGGCCGAACAGCCCCGGCGCCGCGGGCGACTTCTGCGGGGACAGCGACGGTGACCTGGAGAGGAGAGAGAGAGAGAGAGAGAAAGGCCAGTGAGAAACCTCCGTCGAATCGATGTCGTTGCAGGACCCCATCACCATCATCACGGTGAAGTGAGCTTTGTTAAAGTTAACTCCGAGGGGTGGACCACTCAACTTTTTGGTGTACGTTGGGATCTGTATTATACTTGGAATATCTGAGATATTTGTTGGAGTGTCTGCAATATTTTTGAAATATCTGGAATAGTTTTGAAATATTTTCCCATGTGTAAATTACCCAAGTACCCACGTGGTCCACGCCTCGGTTAACTCCCGGCACTCACCTGGAGCCGTGGCTGCTGCCGTAGCCGCTGTCAAGTCGCCGGTACCCGCCGCCTGGCTGCTGCAGCTGCGGCTGCTGCCTGTTGAAGCCCCACGAGCTGGTCGGCGTCCTGGACGCGGCGGCCGAGGACGGCGTCAGCCGGGTGGCGGACTGGGGCGCCAGCGGGCGGCCCGACGACAGCCGCAGGTCCGTGCGCACTTGGGGCCTGTTGGGCCTGCTGCTCTGCTGCGCCGACTGATGGAGGCCGTAGGTCGAGGATCCGGGCGACGGGTCCGCAACACCTGTGCCAGCGAGCGGGGACGATGTAGCGCATTCCAGAGGGGACAAACGGACAGGGGGAAGGGTTGGAAATTTCCAAAAA